CGCGCGCCGGTGGCCCGCAGGCGGTTCTGGTCCCCCCCGCGCTGCAGCTGCGAGAGCCGCTCCGTCAGCCCGTCCAGCTGGTCCGCAATGGACTTCACGTTCTTCTCGGCCGGACCAAGAACAGCCTCGATCTAAAAACGGAGTGCTTCACGTTAGGAAGGAAATCCCATCCAAACCCCACTCCTAACGGTTTTTGGCTCTGCGCAGGGACCGGCTACGGCGCCTGATGGCCAACGGGGTTTCGGGGGGGGGACGGTGACTGAAGTTTGAAGAACAACGCAAGTGATCCATGGCAGAAAGAAGAGGATTTTCCACTAAAAGGTTCACCAGATCCCACCCCCCAGCTGGGCGGGTGCAGGACTCCACCAAGCAGGGAAGCTCCGCAGGGTACAGCACCGTTATCCGGGAAGGCACCGCACGTCGCTCACCTCATCGACGCGCTCCTGGATGAACCGAAGGGAAGAGCCGGAGCCCCTGATGGCACCCCGAGCCTCCAGGAGCACCGTGTTCGCTTGTCGCAGGTTCCCAACCACCTCTTCCACGTTGCCCTCCACGGCATTCGCCCGGTTCCTGGGGAAACCAGGAAAACAGCCAGTAGTGAGCGTAGATAATCGTATGGGCTGGAAGTCAGGGTTGCAGAGGCAGAACAAGCAAGGTTGAGAAGGATGCAAACACCCTCTCCTTTCCTGCAAAAGCCACAAGCCCACACCCTCTGGACACACTGCATTCCAGGAATGAGAGCACATTTCTTGGAAATGGAAGAGTTACTTCCATTTCATATCCCTAAGCAGAGGAGACAAACTGAGAAGGGGAGAGAAACACCTTCCTTTAAACTAGTTAGAAACACTTATTTTGTAAGTCCAAGAAGAAATATTGAAGGGAAAGCAATAACCACTGGACCAGTTTCAAGGAACACTTTTCTGCTTGCAGAGGAACTATTCAGGTCGGATGACAGAGCTCCTCATGGAAAGCCAGACCCTCTTGTCTCATCATGTCCAGCAGGTTAAGCAGGTGTCAGACACTATCAAGGAG